AATGCAATGCAACATCAACGCGTAATACGATGTGTTCGTCGGTCCAATATGTGTACATTTCTTCTATGAGTACACTGACACTTTTTTGTGAATTTGTGGGTTTTTAGCAACATGAGGAAAGTTTAAAGTTTCTATGATTAAAAAGATGCTCATGGCCGGTATTTTAGAGTATTTGTAGACTTAGTATGTTTAAATATGACCTTTTTTGGAGAATGCTTTGAAACCTTATTTAGACCTTCATGTTGGTAAAAAAAAAAAAAAAAATAGTAGAATTGAAAAGAATAAATTAAATATGAAGAATCCAATAAATAAAAAACACATACAGACCTTTTTATTCTCAGTGATGAATGGTGCCAATGACCTCAGTTTTTCCAGAATATTTACCTACCATGTTGTCACCTCCGGAAGCAACACGACCACACCACAGAGCTGTGTCTGAATGTTGTCTGTTGTAATGAATGATATAATCTACAGTACTCATAATCAGATGTTTTCACTTTAACACTTTACCAAGAAATTACCAAGAACTTATTCACGATTTCACCAGAAGCGATGGTGGGAGGCAGGTGTGTATGTGTTTTCCTGCGTGTGTGTAGCTTAGACGTGTGCATGTGTCTGTGTAGGCTTCCCAGCAGTGCCCTTATTTCTGTGGTTGCTAGGTGACAAGTGTAATCATTATGGTGGTGATTTCAGAGTTAATTTAGAAACTGGTCTGACCTCAGTTTCACACTGACCGCTACGTCAGTTTCCTGGGGATGTCAGGCCAAAACCAGACACTCATCTGTCTTTCAGACAACCAGGTGGTTGAGTTTGGCATACCAGGACAGTAGTGCAGCAAATTCATTCAGTTCTGCTGTGCTTTATTGTAACTTAACCTGTGGTTTCTAGTCCGGTTTGACTAGATGCTCACCGGTGCGAAAAACAAACAAACCATAAAAGCAGTTTGAGCAACATCTCCCAGGGAGATCAGGTACACGTACTGCAAATGAGCTCAAACGGCTTCCTGCAGTGTCATTAAGAAACTTAGCTTACCAGAAATGTTTATGTTTTTTTTTCTCTCTCTCAATTGTGCAGTTTATTCAGGCTGTAAACACTTTCAGTTTTAGCCTGCACCACTCAGAGTTAATTTAATAATCTGATATATACAACATGGTCGAAAGTAAATAATTGCTGATCTGAAATCAAGAAGGGCCTCTAATAAAACTTGATGATGTTCGAAGGTATTTCCATAATCCTCACAGACTCTTTTAGCCATCTGGATGAAAAAATATTCCACCTACGGCACAGTAAATAAGATTTCTACTTTCTAGGTAGTTGAGAATGGCATATTTTTCTTGCTTGTTTAAACACAAGACAAATATAAATGCTTTATTACATATGAAAGCATAAAATAATGGAAAGTACAACTTTAATTTGTGTTCATGTTGGACTTGTTGAGCAAGTCCACTACAATATAATTTATTTTAGTTTGAAACAGTAGTGCTGCCAAAGGGGGTCATGGACATCCTGATATAATATTTTTCATGTTAATGTAAAAGAAAATGACAAATGCATAGCCAGCCAGCTGCTTATGATCGTCTGTCACTACATCACACTCCGATCCCTCCCCTCCTAACCCTAACCCTAACCCCACCCCAATATTTTCAATAGCCCTTACCTAGCTACTCATATGAACATTTTCTGGGGTCGCCATTGGTTTGGAATACAGTCGTATCTTGGGAAAGGGCTTAAAAATATATTTTTTATGGTGAAATTGGTGTAATTTTTTTTTATCTACACCAACGTGCCAAAAGAAGCTGATGGTCATGGTTTGGTCTTAGAAGCTCCAAAAAGAAATGGTTTTGCCAGGTTCTAAAATGTGGTGGAAAGCCTGAAACCAGAACAGTGGAGGCTGTTATAGCAGCAGATTATAGTGCATTTCACATGTTAGCAGTCACAGAGCTAATCCTGAGTTTTTAATGAAAGATAAATGTGAAATGGCATCTAGTGGCCTGCTGGTTCGTACCCTTCTACTCTCCCCATACTGTATTTCCTGTCTACATCGACACGGTAAACTGTTAAATAAAGGCAAACTGGCGATAAACCTAAAAAACAAAACAAAAGTGTATAACAAAACTTACCACTGTTCTGAAGGTATTTCCAGAATCCTCAAAGACTGTTCTGACCTTCTGAATGAAGTCAAACTGTTAATCTGTCTACCAGGTGCACAGAATATAGGAAATTATGAATTCCTGCAGTTTATCAGGGACACAACATTTATTAGAGATAAAACGTTGTAATAATCAATCTGGTAACGCAGAATTGTTATGACTGAAACATTTTCACTAATTAACTCTTTCACTAATAGTCTGGACTATTCCTGCTCACTGTCTATTAATGTTTATATTGTATTTTAATTAATATTCTTTTGGCAGCTATTTTTGCTGTTTCCCCAAAACAGTTATTTAAACTTACATTTTGATATAAATATCCAGTTTCATAACTACACTAAAACATAGATGTGGTGTGTAAAAATTATTTTTTAACAGCAATTATTTGTAATTATTATTCATTATTTAAAAGTTTGATCATTTATACATGCTCTATAAAAAGCTATTCATTCTACACTAAAGCATTAAAAACAGCACTTTTCACCACGTATTGTATTCATTTCTTTTATTCCAAGAATTCATGAAAGGGCTTTTTTTATTGCCTTTTTATGGGATAGTGACAGCTGAAGATAGACATGAAAGGGGGGTAGAGAGAGAGGGGTAACTCAATACTTCTTACTTCTTGCTCTCAGAGGTCTTATTCTAGCTTTTATTCTTACACTTCCTATACAATGTTCCGCTTGAAGCTGAGACCGTGAATATCATAGTCAAGGATCCATCGTTTCACGGCAGTGGGCTGGACGCTCACAGTACCAGATGTGGCAAATCAGAAGTGGAAACTCCTAACGCCACTTGTACTCGTCATTAATTTCTCTGGCCGCCAGACTCTCGTGGAAACTGGGAATGTATCGATTATTCTTCAAAAGGCCCCTCTTCATTTGGCGCCCGCCCCGCCGGTTAGCTCAGTCGGGTAGAGGCTGGCGACCCATCACGGAGGGGTTGGCCTTACATTTGGCCCAGGGGTGTTGAGTCTGACGCGCCGCCTTTGCTGCGT